AGGGTTTGCAAACTACAATTATGGTACTGGAAAGATCAACAGGCAGGTGCCATTACCATTAGCCTTTCATACAATACAAAAGGATAAAGACGGCAGAACATATGCACATGAATATCCCTCCCCACATGCAAGTACCCTTCAAAGATCATTTGATCTTTTACATTTATAATCCATCGATTTCTACTTCTGCAAGAATTGTTCTACTCACTACATCGTTCTTTCAGCTCTCGTTGCACACATCAACTGTTAAAGGGAATGAAACATCTAATCGATTTGATACGGACCAATTCTCCGAGATTTTAATCCATGTGTATTTATCTTGAACACTTAAATTCAACACAAATACAATATATCCATCAAGTAATGTTACACATGTACATGCACATCATATGATCTTGTTCTTAAAACAACTTAAGGACTATGAACCTACAAATTCGTGTTACACAACTACATCCATAACAATGATTTATGTTCAATTCCAAGTTAATAATATCCTTCCGTCCAATGGCCACATATCTACAATGGAATCTTCTAAAGCCAAAGCCAAAGCCAAAGCCACACTAAAGCCATTTACCAAACATTTAGTGGGTAAGTGCTTACTGGGTCAATTTCCCTACAATTTCCCTACCAAGTGAGCATAGCAAGGATCCAGAGTTTTACCTGGTAAGTGAGGGTGGTGACGCTTACCCGATAGCGCTTACCAGACAATAGTCGCTACGCGACAATCTATTTTGTTGGTCAATGTTAACCGAAAAGATAAGTGTAGGTGGTGATATTTGCAGGTAAACGGGTAAGCGTTTGGTAAACAGCCACTATCTAGCCACTAACTTTCTGTAAGCTTGCCCAAAATGTAAAACATGCAATTTTCCATTAATTTTTTCTGATCTTCATGGTGGAAATGAAGTAGTAGGGTTTTCCTTCATAGGCACCTACAAACTCCTTTCTCACATGAATAGGCTTATAAAGCAATCAGAAAATCTCTGCTTATGAATATAACCATATAATATAATATCTTTAAACAGAATGCAAAACAACAAAGGAATCTATAGAGAACAAAAAGATTGTGACATACCATAGAATGGAGACCATCAGGCCAGCTTCCAAACCTCCATTTCTGAACAATCAATTTGCCCTCCTGCAACTCCATATTCGTCCCTGTGACTGCACCATCAAAAATACTAATCTCCCCACCAACCTCTTTGCTAATCCTAGCATTACTCTGCGTAAAACCCTTCCATCTATTGTCATCCATCAAGATCTCAAACAAATCTTTCGCCCTACAGCTAAACTTTTCTGTCATTTTTATAGTCTTAAACCCTTCTTTCTTCTTTTCCTTCTTCTCCTCCACCTTCTTGGCAGGTGCAGCAACCGGTGGTGCCGCCACAGGAGCCGCCGCTGGTTTTGGATTTACCTTCTTGACCTCCAATTCATCCTTTGCAGGTCCACCTTTTGCCATGGCATCGACATAAACCCTAACCTGTTTCAAAACGAAATCCTTCCCTTTCGCCATAAAGGCATCCTTCAATCNTCTCCCAATCGGACCTTCATTCCTCACAATAACCCTAAGATCAGGATCCTCTTTGTCGGAAATATAAGAAATCTCGATAACACCATCGGCAATCAAAAGCGATTTCCCTTCATCATCTCTCGCCTCGCCTTGCCAATTGAGCAAAACGCTTAACTCATAACCGGGGATAATTTTTCCCTTTCGGACATTAACATAAGCCTCCCCTTCCACTTTCTCGATCTTCTTCGTCTTGATGAAGAGGTTTCCTTCGCCGTCGAGTATCGTGTGGTCGGATAGGAGTTTTGACAGTAAGTTTCTGGACCACTCGATACAATCGGTCTCAGCCCAGTGCCAGTTATGAACATTCGCTCCGTCTGGTCTGTCTTCGACGATCCAACGCTTATCCCCTTCACCGTATTTCGCCATTATCGTAGCTGAAACAACAGAAGGTTTTTCAACGGTAATAGTATATTGGTGATGGAAACCAGAAGCGGCGGCGTTGGGTTGTTGATGGAGGAGATAAAGGGCGAGAAAAGTAGCGTCTAGAGGATTCAAGGAGTTGGAAGATTCTAGAGTCTCGGAAACCCTAGATCTGTGGATGAACTGAATTGAATATAGCGGTAACAGGCCAATAAGAAGAATCTAGAAGATTGTGGTTCATTAACCGAGTTCCAAACCATCTGAGTTCACTGGGTTGCCATGGTGAGTTTTGCCGAGTTGATGTGGATTATTAACTGGGTTCTTACAAAACCGATCAAACCTAACCCAAAAAAAATCATACCGAGATAACCTTATGTGTAATTAAATACAAAATTAGGGTTAACCGCATCTATTTGTTTGGGCTTAAAGTAACATCGTCTTTTTGGATGGTTGGTCATATTTCAAAGAAAGGTTTTCATCACTTTTTGTTCCCAATGTTGATTTTACTTTGTTTAAACACAACGTGATCAACTTGACCAACCCAAAAGAGTTAGGTTGGGTTGAATTTTTTTCGAAATCGTAAATATTGAGTTGAGTTATTCAAATGTCTTTAACATGATCAATCAAACCCATGAGCCCCTGGTTCATACATAGTAGAGTAAACTAAGATTTTGGTCCTTAAGGTTTAGTGAAATTTTTGAAAGTGCGACCTAAACTTCAGTAAGTCAAGTTTTCATCCTTTAGGTATCCATATTTGAGGTCCCACTTCAAATAAACTAAACTGACCAAATCCATAATTACTTTACCATTATAGAGGGGTAATTTCATAACTTTTATTAATAAGCGTTGTATAATCGAGAGGGGTTGTATTTGAACGCCTATATATATATATATATATATATATATATATATATAGAGAGAGAGAGAGAGAGAGTTTGTTTCAAATAAAATCCGTTGCATTTGTACAACAAATGCAACCCAATAAACATTGTATAATCTAGAGGGGTTGTATTTGAACGCCTATATATATATATATATTCATTCAAGAGAGAACTAATTAGTTTGTGATGACTGTGAAATCTAATATCAACTGCAAATCAATGGATAAATTAGAAAACTAATATTTTTGATAATTTGACTTAAAATTATAATTAAAGGGCATTTTAGGTATTTTAAATTTTTTTTATCTCTCCTCTCTCTCCCCCTCCACCTCCTACCTCCGGCCTCCGACGAACACCATTCGATGCCCAAAATACACCAAAATACACAATGTGATATCTAAAACACATCAAGTAAATTTTACAAACTGTGGCGGAGATGGAAAAAGGGAGATAGGTAGTGAGGGGGTCACATGGACACAGATGGGGTTAGCTGTCGGGAATGCTCACAGGTGGGTGTTTAGTGGTCGATCATCGGAAACAACGTCTTGGTCAGACAAAATGACCGGAGGTGGTCACCGAAGTGGTGGTGGATGCCGGAGAAGGCCACCAGATTTGGTCCATGTGTGTCCGTGTGTGTGTATGTATACATATATTAAAATAATTAAAGTAAATTTTAATATTAAACTAATTAAAGTAAATTGAATAATCAACACAATTTAGTAATTTATCCTTTGTTTTATTTTAATAAATACCATTAATTATCTCAAATGATTGGCTCATATTGAATCTCACATTACCACAAACTATCTAGTTCTCATTTGATTATATATATATATATATATATATATATATAGGGGCAGGTCCAAATGAAAACCATGTCATTCTAAAAAACCGTGTAAACCAAAATCAACCAATAAGAAAATTTCATTCTTTTTTAATTAAATTTAATCAATAAGGTCACTTTTGTCATTTTCATTATTTTTTTCATAAATAAGGAAGTTATTATGGAATATTAAATAAGGAAATTTAATAATGGAAATTATATAAATGAAATGATTTAAAGATTTTAATATTTTATAATATTAAAAATTGATTTGTTTTTTTTTATTCAATGAAGCTGGAAATATTTATGAAGATTTTATCTTGTTATGTAATGAATGAATGATTTGAGGTTCATTGTATCAAAAATTACCGGTTATGAATCTGTTTCATATGAAAAGGTTTTAAAATGAAAAAGTTTCATATTACCATAGCATAATATATTAATGTTCATATGAAAAGGTTTCATTATGAACAAACGGTTGCATATTATATTAAATGCATAATGAAAAGGTTTCATTACGAAGAAACGGTTGCATATTATATTAAATGCATAATGAAAAGGTTTCATAATGATGAAGCATGTTCATAATGAAACTGTTTCATAATGAAAAGGTTCATATGGGGCAAATTTCATGAAACTGTTTCATAATGAAAAGGTTCATAATGATAAAGTATGTTCATGATCTAATACTCTAGGCATATTGTCCAAATTAATACTCTAGGCATATTGTCCAAATTAATACTCTAGGCATATTATCCACTTTAATGAAAAGGTTTCATGAAACTGTTTCATAATGAAAAGGTTCATAATGATGAATCATGTTCATATGATGAACTATTGATGTAACAGTTTCATCAAACATTTCAAAACAGTTGAAAAATCGAAACAATATAATCTCTCTATTTCCTAATGAAAATATTGTAATGAATAGTTTCATAAACAAAGTTCAAAAAACAATGGTTATGAAACTGTTTCAATGTGAAAATGTTTCATTGTAAAATGGTTTATTTGCTCCGTCTATGCATATTATACGTGTTAATGAAATAGATGCTTTGTGATTGAAGTTTCATGGTTATCCTTGTTGCTTTGTGATTGAAGGTACATTTAGGTTCATGGTGATCCATGTTGCTTTGTGATTGAAGTTGATCCGTTTAGTTGGTAGGATGAAAATGAAACAGGTGCGTAATGTATTGTGTTCTTTTATGAAATAAATATATGATGAAACGGGTGCATGTTATATTTTGTTCTTTATGGAATTAATGTTAATGTGAAAAGGTTTCATTATAAAATGGTTCATTGATGTTATATTAATGTTAACTTTTGTTTATGGAATTAATGTTATATTGATGTTAACTTTTGTTTATGGAATTAATGTTATATTGATGTTAACTTTTGTTTACCAATTTGCCCTTATCATTGAAATAAAATAATTTTTTAATATTTTTTATTTTTTAATTTCCTAAAATAAAGTAAACTAATCTTAGCCATTGATCAAAAAAATGGACGGATGAGATTGGTTTACACGGTTTACACAAATGGGGCAAGTTTTTATTTGAACGCTCATATATATATATATATATATATATATCATATGGGAAAAAGAGTTTCTCATAAGAAGGGATTTGGACTCTTGATCACTTTCAATCTCACCCCACTCCATGAATTGCATTTATCATGGGTATTGGTTCTGGAAGTGATGACTTACACATGAAGTGTTTATAGAAGGGGAGTTGAATACAAACACAATAAATTATCACTTTTTAATTATATATTCTATATTTTGTATAAAACAAAGAATTACAGATTTTTTTGGAGAAGTTAGGAAGGTAAGACTGTGATCCTAAACAATCTGACTGTGCCAAATTTACTAAAATTAAACGAATTGGGGGAATGAGGTACTACTCCAAATATGAAGAACTATGGAAGTTCGTTAGAGTATAATGCAGATTTTGCTTAAGAAACAATCACAAATATGTTCTTTCAAAACATGTGAGTAACATTGAATGACAAGGGTGATCTTTTATAGCCACTATTGCATTAAATGTTTATTGTCTAACTTTAATATGTTTTCTTCTCCTGATTTGTTAATCCATGCATCGTAGTACTTTTCACTTCAGCCTTTGAGTTTAATGTAAACACTTGTTAATTTATCCTATCTTTTTGTATGTCGAGGGAACAGTGAAGGAAGTATGCCACAAATAAAATAGTGCTCTTGTACTTACTTTGTCTTACATAGTTATGCATGTTCTCATACTGAAGGAAGTAAGAGAATTTGTGAGCCAAACTTGCTGGCCAAGTTTGTACTTCAAGATTCAGCTTGCTAGTAATAGTATTTTCAAGCTACTAGTTGACTTAATCTTGTTGTCTTCTTTTTTGCTAGATGGCAAATCAATCTGCTTTATGACGATCCTGACCTTACTTCAGCTATTTTTCAACTTTGTTAAAGACATTTTGCTCTTGGGAAAAAAAAACAGATAGTTATAAGACTTTTGCAAGTAAAAATTCTTATCTTTTTGTATTTCCAAAATATAGGCTACATACCAGATTTTCAGCTATAGAAACATTATGAATATGCTTTCATCGGATACAGAGAAAGACTTGGTACAAACTAGAATATTTGAGACTTTAAGCTTTAAGATCCTTTCAATAAAATAAGTTGGATGTTTATGATCCGATGATAGCTTTAAAAGGCATTTAATTTATACAAAAAAATCCGATGAATGTTACATTCGAAACCTGAAACAACAGGTTCGTATGTTACCAAAATCAAACTATATCCGATTATATGAAGTTCATCAGATAATTTACTTGAAAAACAAGGTAATCAAGAACTTTCCTTTCTAAGGGGGCGTTTGGTTCGTAGAATGAAATTCGATGGAATTGAAATTCATCAAAGGAATTTGACTTTGAGAGAATGAAATGAAATCTGATGGAATTTGACCTTGTCCTGTGATTGCGTTTGGTTGCATGGAATTGGAATGAAATTCTTAACGGAATTGGAATTTTTTTGTTTGGTTCACGGAATTCAACTTTGGAATTGGAATTGGAATTAAATATCAACAAATGACCTTTTATGATTTTTTTGTCATTTTTTTAAAAAATTACCATTAAACCAAATTACATTATTAACATCAGATAAAATTTGAAATTGTTCACTTATATTAATAATATCTGAAATTGTTCACTAAATTTTGTTTAAAGAAGTGATCGGTGCCCTAATTCCATTCAATTTGGGATCGAACCAGAGAGCGATTGAAGATCAAATCAGAGATCGATTGAAGATCGAACTAGATTGGCGATCGAATTTTGTTTACGAGAGAGAAAGAGAGAGCGTACCTGGAGATCGAACCAGAAATGCAGTAGATGAGATGGTAGAGGCGTTCAATGAATTTGGATTAGAGGATTAGAGAATGAATCTGTAAGAAAGGAATTGAAATCCTAGCATGTTGTCGTGGAATGTGAAATCTGTGCATGAAGGAATTGACCGGAATTGAAAGGATTCCATGATCTTATTCCAT